TTGACTGTACCAATCTCTCTACCAGTAAGCTACTCCTCAAGCCATCTAGTCCTCTGATTCATAGAATCATAGAATAACAGAAGTGGAAGAGGTCACATGGGCCATCTAGTTCAACCCCCTGCCATGCAGGAAATGCACAATCAAAGCACCTCTGATAGATGGCCATCTAATTTCCACACTATAAGGCAGAGAGCCCTATGAGGAGCGGCTTAAGGAGCTGGGCATGTTTAGCCTGAAGAAGAGAAGGCTGAGAGGAGACATGATAGCCATGTATAAATATGTGAGAGGAAGTCACAGGGAGGAGGGAGCAAGCTTGTTTTCTGCTTCCCTGGAGACTAGGACACAGAACAATGGCTTCAAGCTACCAGAAAGGAGATTCCATCTGAACATTGGGAAGAACTTCCTGACTGTGAGAGCTGTTCAGCAGGGGAACTCTCTGCCTCGGAGTATAGTGGAGGCTCCTTCTTTGGAGGCTTTTAAACAGAGGCTGGATGGCCATCTGTCAGGGGTGCTTTGAATGCAATATTCCTGCTTCTTGGCAGGCGGTTGGACTGGATGGCCCATGAGGTCTCTTCCAACTCTATGATTCTATGAGAGTTCCACTGCTGAACAGCTCTTATAGTCAGGAAGTTCTTCCTAATGTTTAGGTTGAATCTCCGTTCCTGTAATTTGAACCCATTGCTCCGAGTCCTAGTTTCCAGGTCAGCAGAAAACAAGCCTGCTCCCTCTTCCTTATGATATTCTTTGACATATTTATACATGGCGATCATGTCTACTCTCAATCTTCTCTTCTACAGGCTAAAGAGATCCAGGTCTTTAAGCTGCTCCTCATAGGGGTTCATGGACTCCATACCTTTAATCAATTTAGTCACCCTCCTCTGGACAATTTCCAGCTTATCAATATCTCTTTTAAACTGTGGTGCCCAGAATTGGACACAGTATTCCAGGTGAGGTCTGGCCAAAGCAGAATACAAAGGCACAACGATTTCCCTCAATCTAGACCAGGGGTCCTCAAACTAAGGCCCAGGGGCCGGATACGGCCCTCCAAGGTTATTTACCCGGCCCTCACTCAGGGTTAACCTAAGTCTGAAATTACTTGAAAGCACACAACAACAACAATCCTATCTCAAAAGCAGGTCCACCCTTCCCATTGAAATACTAATAAGTTTATATTTGTTAAAATTGGCCTTTATTTTAATTATTGTATTGTTTTTAAGTGTTTCTTGCACTACAAATAAGATATGTGCAGTGTGCATAGGAATTTATTCATGGTTTTTTTTCTTCAAATTATAATCCAGCCCTCCAGCAGTTTGAGGGACTGTGACCTGGCCCCTCTGTTTAAAAAGTTTGAGGACCTATTCTGTATCTTTGCATTCCATTTTTTCTCTATGCTGATGATTGTGCCATTACTGCTCAAGCAGGGAGCTTTGAGATGGTAGAACAGAAGAATTCCGAAGCTCTAGGTGCTCTTACTGCCTATTACAAGGAAAACCAACTGATCCCTAATCCATCTAAAACACAGACATGTGCTTTTCACCTTAATAACAGACAAGCATCCCGACTCTGAGGATTACCTGGGAAGGAATCCCACTGGAGCATTGCAGCTCAACCAAATATCTGGGAGTCACTCTGGACCGTGCTCTTACCTAGAAGAAACACTGCCTGAACATCAAGCAAAAAGTGGGTGCTAGAAACAATATCATACAAAAGCTGACTGGCACAACCTGGGGATCACAACCAGATACAGTGAAGATATCTGCCCTTGCGCTGTGCTACTCTGCTGCTGAGTACGCATGCCCAGTGTGGAACACATCTCACCACACTAAAACAGTGGATGTGGCTCTGAATGAGACATGCCGCATTATCACGGAGTGTCTGCGCCCTACACCACTGGAGAAATTACACTGCTTAGCCGGTATTGCACCACCTGACATCCGCCGGGAATTAGAAGCCAATAGTGAAAGGACCAAGGCAGTGACATCTCCAGCTCATCCCCTGTTAGGGTATCAGCCAGCACGTCAACGACTTAAATCTAGAAATAGTTTTCTAAGATCAACAGAGACACTCGCTGGAACACCTCAGCAAGCGAGAGTCCAAAAGTGGCAGGCTCAAACCCAGAACCTCAATCAATGGCTGATACCAAATGAGAGACTCCCCCCTGGGCACACAGAAAACTGGGCGACTTGGAAGCCGCTGAACAGACTGCGCTCTGGCACCACGAGATGCAGAGTCAATCTTAAGAAATGGGGCTACAAAGTGGAATCCACGACATGCGAGTGTGGAGAAGAGCAAACTACAGACCACCTACTGCAATGCAACCTGATCCCTGCCACATGCACAATGGAAGACCTTCTTGCAGCAACACCAGAAGCACTCCAAGTGGCCAGATACTGGTCAAAGGACATTTAACCAACTACCAGACTCACAAAGTTTGTATTTTGTCTGTTTGTTTGCTTTGTTCTGTTAGAAATGTAATATAATTGACTGGTTGCCCTGACACGACAAATAAATAAATAAATTCAATTTTTTTATACTTAAGTGGAATACCTTGCATTTCTCCTTGTTGAAATTCATTTTGTTAGTTTTGGCCCATCTCTCTAATCTGTTAAGGTCATTTTGAATTCTGATCCTGTCCTTTAGAGCAGTGGTTCTCAACCTGTGGATGTCCAGGTGTTTTGACCTACAACTCCTGGAAACGCCAGCCAGTTTACTAGCTGTTAGGATTTCTGGGAATTGAAGGCCAAATCATCTGAGGAACTACAGATTGAGAACCACTGCTCTAGAGTATTAGCTATCCCTCCCAACACCTAGTCTTCTGGTGTCTTGCATTTAAAATCCAAGAAGCCTCACCTGTTGTGGTTAGAAAGGAGTGATTCTGGGACGTGAAGTCAAAACACCTGGAAGGCCAGAGTTTGGAAAATCCTGGTCTGTTCCTAAGGTCACTCATTTCTTCCTGTTTTGATCTTAAGGAATGCATTATTCTGCTGGGCTGTGACTCTGGAGATTAGGGCCCTACCTACACTGAGCTTTTAAATAAGTTTGAAACTAGCTAGCTTTAAACTGTGGTGGCCATAATGCCCTCCCCTAAACTGTTGGTGGGGGTTCTGTGTGGAAGTTTGCCCCAATTCTGTCGTTGGTGGGGTTCAGAATGCTCTTTGATTGTAGCTGAACTATAAATCCCAGTAACTACAACTCCCAAATGTCAAGGTCTATTTCCCCCAAACTCCACCAGTGTTCATATTTGGGCATATGGAGTATTCGTGCCAAGTTTGGTCCAGATCCATCATTTTTTGTGTCCAAAGTGCTCTCTGGATATAGGTGAACTACAATTCCCCAACTGTATTTTTGCCCACCAAACCCTTCCAGTATTTTCTGTTGGTCATGGGAGTTCTGTGTGCCAAGTTTGGTTCAATTCCATTTTGGTGGAGTTCAGAATGCTCTTTGATTGTAGGTGAACTATAAATCCCTGCAATTACAACTCCCAAATGACAAAATCAAAATCCTTCCTTCTCTTTTTACTTCCATGCTTCCTTCTTCCTTTCCTTCTTTCTAACCCCCCCTTCCTTTTCTTTCTTTCTTTTCCCTCCCTCTTTCTTCCTTTTTTCTGTATTGTCATTTATCTTTTCGTCATTTAGCTTTTGGGGGCTTTTTAAGTCCCTTCTGCTGTGTTTTTCAGTGTTTTTATGAGTGAAGGACATATATTGGGTTGTTAGGTGTCTTGTGTCCAAATTTGGTGTCAATTCGTCCAGTGGTTTTTGAGTTCTGTTAATCCCACAAATGAACATTATATTTTTATTTATATAAACTAGCTGTCCCCTGTCATGCGTTGCTGTGGCCCACATGGGAGTTCCGTGTGGGAGTTTGGCCCAATTCTATCGTTGGTGGGGTTCAGAATGCTCTGTGATTGTAGGTGAACTATAAATCCCAGCAACTACAACTCCCAAATGTCAAGATTCTATTTCCCCCAAACTCCACCAGTGTTCACATTTGGGCATATTGAGTATTCGTGTAGAGTTTGGTCCAGATCCATCTTTGTTTGAGTCCACAGTGCTCTCTGGATGTAGGTGAACTACAACTCCCAAACTCAAGGTCAATGCCCACCAAACCCTTCTAGTATTTTCTGTTGGTCATGGGAGTTCTGTGTGCCAAGTTTGGTTCAATTCCATCATTGGTGGGTTCAGAATGCTCTTTGATTGTAGTTGAACTATAAATCCCAGTAACTACAACTCCCAGATGTTGAGGTCTATTTCCCCCAAACTCCATCTGTGTTTGTATTTGGGCATATGGAATATTCGTGCCAAGTTCGGTCCAGACCCATCATTGTTTGAGTCCACAGTGATCTCGGGATGTAGGTGAACTACAACTCCCAAACTCAAGATCAATGCCCACCAAACCCTTCAGGCATGGGAGTCCTGTGTGCCTAGTTTGGTTCAATTCCATTGTTGGTGGGGTTCAGAATGCTCTTTGATTGTAGGTGAACTATAAATCCCAAGAACTACAACTCCCAAATGACAAAATCAAAAAATTTTCAGTGAAGGACATACATTGGGTTGTTAGGTGTCTTGTGTCCAAATTTGGTATCAATTCGTCCAGTGGTTTTTGAGTTCTGTTAATCCCACAAATGAACATTACATTTTTATTTATATAGATAGATAGATCCCATAATGTTTCTTCTGCCTAGGGATGGGAAATTCATTGCTTTCCAGATGTTACAAAACTGGAACTCCCAACACAGCAAGAGGCGAGGGATGATGGGACCTGCAGGGCTAGGAAACCTAGAAGGCCAGCCATTCCTCCTTAAGCTGGTCCCCTCCTTGCCCTATTCTGAAATACAGCCTTGTTCTTGTGTGCATTCAAGCCCTATCTGGTGTATGGAGACCCTATGATAAGGTTTCCTTGGCCATGGCTTGGGCTTGTGCCCCCCACCCCGCTTCCCACAATGGTTCCTTCCCGCCCGGTTCCTCCCCCGCTCTTGGACTCCTCCATCCCTCCGCACTTACAGCGCTTCCTCCTCGCGGCCGCCAAGTGCGCCTCCTCGAGTTCCGCCTCCTTTTACAGCACTTGCTCTGTCTCCATAGATATACTAAAACGATAGAAGAGCGCGCGGGCTGGGCTACTGAGAGACTTTTCCCTGCTATATAGGCTCGAAATATGAGGAAGGGCCCCTCTAAATGATGCAAAAGAGAGGCTCTAGTTTAGATCTAGTTTAGATCTAGGGAAGTAATGCTACCCCTCTAATCTGCTTTGGTTAGACCACACCTGGAATATTGTGTCCAATTCTGGGCACCACAATTCAAGAGAGATATTGACAAGCTGGAATGTGTCCAGAGGAGGGCGACTAAAATGACCAAGGGTCTGGAGAACAAGCCCTATGAGGAGCGGCTTAAGGAGCTGGGCATGTTTAGCCTGAAGAAGAGAAGGCTGAGAGGGGATATGATAGCCATGTATAAATATGTGAGAGGAAGCCACAGGGAGGAGGGAGCAAGCTTGTTTTCTGCTTCCTTGGAGACTAGGATGCGGAACAATGGCTTCAAACTACAAGAGAGGAGATTCCATCTGAACATGAGGAAGAACTTCCTGACTGTGAGAGCCGTTCAGCAGTGGAACTCTCTGCCCCGGAGTGTGGTGGAGGCTCCTTCTTTGGAAGCTTTTAAACAGAGGCTGGATGGCCATCTGTCAGGGGTGATTTGAATGCAACATTCCCTGCTTCTTGGCAGGGGGTTGCGCTTTGCTACTCTGCTCTTGAGTATGCATGCCCAGTGTGGAACACATCTCACCACGCTAAAACAGTGGATGTGGCTCTTAATGAGACATGCCGCATTATCACAGGAGGTCTGCACCCTACACCACTGGAGAAATTACACTGTTTAGCAGGTATTGCACCACCTGACATCTGCCAGGAAGTAGCCAATAATGAAAGAACCAAGGCAGTGATATCTCCAGCCCATCCCCTATTCGGATATCAGCCAGCACACCAATGACTTAAATCTAGAAATAGTTTTCTAAGATCTACAGAGACACTTGCTGGAACACCTCAGCAAGCGAGAGTTCAAAAGTGGCAGGCTCAAACGCAGAACCTCAACCAATGGCTGATACCAAATGAGAGACTCCCCCCTGGGCACACAGAAAACTGGGCGACTTGGAAGGCGCTGAACAGACTGCGCTCTGGCACCACGAGATGCAGAGCCAACCTCAAGAAATGGGGCTACAAAGTGGAATCCACAACATGCGAGTGTGGAGAAGAGCAAACCACTGACCACCTGCTGCAATGCAACCTGAGCCCTGCTACATGCACAATGGAGGACCTTCTTGAGGCAACACCAGAGGCACACCAAAGGACATTTAATCAACTACCAAGTTTGCAAACTTTGTGTGTGTTTTTTAACCTGTTTGTTTGTTTTGTTCTATTAGAAATGTAATACAATGGTCTGGTTGCCCTTGACATGATAAATAAATAAGAGAAGCAAAAAACAAAAACAAAACAACCCTTTGTAAAACTACAACTCCCATGTTTTCATTGCATACAGCCATGTGAGTTCACGCATTGTCAATCTATATAAATAAAAATGTAATGAGAGCTGGACCTTAGGGAAGGCTGAGCGAAGCGAAGGAAGATGCTTTTGAGCTGTGGTGTTGGAGGAAAGTTCTGAGAGTGCCTTGGACTGCGAGAAGATCCAACCAGTCCATCCTCCAGGAAATAAAGCCCGACTGCTCATTGGAGGGAAGGATACTAGAGACAAAGTTGAAGTACTTTGGCCACATCAGGAGGAGACAGCAAAGCCTAGAGAAGACAATTATGCTGGGGAAAGTGGAAGGCAAAAGGAAGAGGGGCCGACCAAGGGCAAGATGGATGGATGGCATCCTTGAAGTGACTGGACTGACCTTGAAGGAGCTGGGGGTGGTGACGGCCACCAGGGAGCTCTGGCGTGGGCTGGTCCATGAGGTCATGAAGAGTCGGAAATGACTGAACAAATGTAATGTTCGTTTGTGGGATTAACATAACTCAAAAACTACTGGACAAATTGCCGCCAAATTTGGCCACAAGTCACCTACTAACCCAAGGAGTGACCATCACTCAAAAAAAATGATTTTGGGATTATAGTTGCTGGGATTAATAGTAAACCTACAATCAAACAGCATTCTGAACTCCACCAATGATGGAATGGAACCAAACTTGGCACACAGGACTCCCACAACCAACAAAAATACTGGAAATGTTTGGTGGACATTGACCTTGAGTTTGGGAGTTGTAGTTCACCTACATCAAGAGAGCACTGTGGACTCAAACAATGATGGATCTGGACCAACTTGGCATCAATATTCAATATGCCCAAATGTAAACACTGGTGGAGTTTGGGGAAAATAGACCTTGACATTTGGGAGTTGTAGTTGCTTTAAATAATATCCCAAGTATATTCCAGGCTTTTGGGCATGCTTCAATAGAAGGAATTAACTTGAACCCAGAAACTTTGCTCCTAAGACACAGCACCATCCCTTTCCATGTGTTTTCGTGGAAATGAATTCTCTAAGCTAATTGCCTAAATCGTTCTTTCTCTTGTGGGATGATTAATTTTCATTAACCCAGTGTAGTTATTCAAATTTTTCCATTTTAATAATGTAAAATCAATAACATAATAGAGCAAAATAAAATAAACCAGGCAGTTGAAATCCATCATGGCTCAGCAAGAAAGAATTGTGGGGTCACCAACAGCCAGCTAATGCCAGGAAAATCTAAACAATAATAATACTATAACAAGATGTGTAAATTAGTCCTGCCATGGAATTTTGAAAAGAAGGCCCTGTTCTATATTCTTACTAACTTTACTTTGAAGAAGGACAACTCCTTGTCCCTACTAACCTCCAATTATAGGGAGATACACATAGTACATCGTGCTGCTTCAGTGCATATTTTCCATATATAAAAGCCAGCCAGCTGTCAGTTTAATCACACAAACCATACAAAATATTCCATTCCACTCTTTTGATGATCTGGGGTGCTGTGGAAGTAATGCTGTTCCACACCACTTTAACTTGTTGTTTATTCGTTCATTCGCTTCCAACTCTTTGTGACCTCATGGACCAGCCCACGCCAGAGCTCCCTGTTGGCCATCACCACCCCCAGCTCCTTCAGAGTCAATCCAGTCACTTCAAGGATATCATCCATCCATCTTGCCCTTGGTCGGCCCCTCTTCCTTTTTCCTTCCATTTTCCCCAGCATCATTGTCTTCTCTAAGCTTTCCTTTCTTCTCATGATGTGGCCAAAGTACTTCATCTTTGTCTCTACTATCCTTCCCTCCAATGAGCAGTCGGGCTTTATTTCCTGAAGTATGGACTGGTTGGATCTTCTCGCAGTCCAAGGCACTCTCAGAATTTTCCTCCAACACCACAGTTCAAAAACATCTATCTTCCTTTGCTCAGCCTTTGTTATGGTCCAGCTCTCACATCCGTAGGTTACTACAGGGAATGCCATTGCTTTAACTATGTGAATTTTCGTTGCCAGTGTGATGTCTCTATTCTTCACTATTTTATCGAGATTGGTAATTACTATAATGGAAATGAGCCAACAATGTGATGTGGCGGCAAAAAAAGCCAATGGGATTTTGGCCTGCATCAATAGGAGCATAGTGTCTAGATCTAGGGAAGTAATGCTACCCCTCTATTCCGCTTTGGTTAGACCATACCTGGAATATTGTGTCCAATTCTGGGCACCACAATTCAAGAGAGATATTGACAAGCTGGAATGTGTCCAGAGGAGGGCAACTAAAATGATCAAGGGTCTGGAGAACAAGCCCTATGAGGAGCGGCTTAAGGAGCTGGGCATGTTTAGCCTGAAGAAGAGAAGGCTGAGAGGAGATATGATAGCCATGTATAATATGTGAGAGGAAGCCACAGGGAGGAGGGAGCAAGCTTGTTTTCTGCCTCCCTGGAGACTAGGACGTGGAACAATGGCTTCAAACTACAAGAGAGGAGATTCCATCTGGACATGAGGAAGAACTTCCTGACTGTGAGAGCGTTCAGCAGTGGAACTCTCTGCCCCGGAGTGTGGTGGAGGCTCCTTCTTTGGAAGCTTTTAAACAGAGGCTGGATGGCCATCTGTTAGGGGTGCTTTGAATGCAATATTCCTGCTTCTTGGACAGGGGGTTGGACTGGATAGCCCATGAGGTCTCTTCCAACTCTTTGATTCTATGATTTTATGATCCTGGCTGCAGTCTGCGTGTGCAGTAATCTTTGCACCTAGAAATACAAAGTCTGTCACTGCCTCCACGTTTTCTCCCTCTATTTGCCAGTTATCAATCAGTCCAGTTGCCATAACTGCCATGACTCAATGCTATAAAATTCTAGCAGCTGTAGTTTTGTGCGACTACGCTTCTTCATGGAAGAGAAGGCTAGAGGCCTTGTAAAATTACAATTCCCATTATTATATAGCAATGAGTCACAGCACTTAAAGTGGTGTCAAGCATTCTACATTATAAATGTATCCCAGAGCTGTTGTGTCTACAGCTACAGGTAGCACATGCCAGAAAACACTTTTCCTTTGTTGGAAAATGACAGGGTTGATCTTTCAATGGTTTTTATTAATGCCCTTGCGCAAAGGAATATTGTCCCATTGTAAGCATTGCACAAGTTCACAGATTGTGATGACATTGGGTTTGAACATCCTGCATTAAAACCTTTGTTGGGTGTAATTACATGACTAATAATGATAGAACCAGATAGACAACATGGTGCGGAAATTGAAATTGTGCAAACCCTCAGATGTTGCCGAATTTTAGCAAAGGTTACAAACCAATACAGTCAAAAGTGAGGAATACTAGAAGTTGCAATTCAATCCCCATACATTGCATGTTGTTGTTCATTCGTTCAGTCGTATCCGACTCTTCGTGACCTCATGGACCAGCCCACGCCAGAGCTCCCTGTCGGCCGTTACCACCCCCAGCTCCTTCAAGGTCAGTCCAGTCACTTCAAGGATGCCATCCATCCATCTTGCCCTTGGTCGGCCCCTCTTCCTTTTGCCTTCCACTTTCCCCAGCATAATTGTATTCTCTAGGCTTTGCATAGTG